GGTCATGTTCTCTCTCTCTGGATTTCGATCTTTCTCTTTTTCTACTGCGATGTCCATTATCTTTGCTCCAGTGTCTGTAATTTTCATCATCAGACAAAGAAGCTCTTCTGTCTGCTTTCTTAACTTTTGAATTACTGTGTTTATTTTCTAGATCCTTAGTTCTGTCATGGTTCTTATCTTTTCCACTATGGTAACCATCTCTGCCATTGGACTCATCTCTGTGATGATATTTAGACACATCATCTCTGTGTGATTCTCTTAAATGTCGGTGATTTCTTTCTGATTTGCTCTCAGTATCAGTTCTTTCCTCTTGATGCCTCCTTCCCATTTTCTTTTCAATGGATTTCCTTTTCCTTCCTTGCTTTTTCCTGGAAACTTTATTGGATTCTCTATTTTTCTTCTGCATTCTCCTTCTTCTGGTTTTAGAAACATCTGAAATTATAACAAATTATGGGACTAAGATTGCATTTTGATTTAATATATTTAACTTATTAAACTACAGAAAAATTTGTGGAGAGTTGTTTTTTTGTGTGCATGTATAAGGACAAAAGTTCCAAAATAATGAACTCCGATTTTTATCCCTTAGCTATCTGCAAGTGATGCCTGTCTTTTAAAAACCTCTCCCTGTCATCATCCTCTTGTTGACTTGATACAAAACAACCAGTCATAGGCTGTAAAATCACACATCAAAGCACTCTCACAAATAATGTGTTTTTTTTTTTTTTTAGGAAGATGACCTTCCCAGACTATCCAGTCTCAAAATCATTTACTTTTCCTGGAAAAGCTTCTCAGTCAATGGAGATTAAAAACAGCAGATGGGGAAAAATCTCCAACATTATTCTATGAGGAAATAGAGGGATGACGAAATGGCTTGAGATAATGGTACTGCAGCAATATAACAATGGCCCTCAGACTCAGTTTTTCAGGATGAGCAGTGACAGCTTCGTCAACTAGATTAAAACTAACTTCTGTATTTCTAAATACACAGCAATGCTCGTCTCAGTGGGAGAGGCCTTACCTTTCCTGTTTGCTCTCTATAAGGGACCTCCAGATTCCACTTGACAGTATTTATCACTAACTGCCATTTAGAGTAAGCATTAATTCACCTTATTGTATGAACTATAGTATCACATCAGCTTTTGAAAATATCACAGCCATAAACTGACTAGGACATGTAACATCTGAACTCTCCAGCAGTTGTCGTCTCATGTCTGAACTGAGGCTTTCTGACATTCTGATAAAATGCAATGATGGATCAATTCAGATACATTGTAATGCATTAAGTTTTTTAAAGAGTATTTTCCATACTATTTTACACCCACCAGAATGCAGAAGATGACCCTAGAAAGTAAACAGAAAAGGCCCAGCTGCTTTGATAACAGATAAATTTCATCCTCTGCTGGACTTGTTTTGGTTAGAGGTACCTCCCCAAAGTAGTGCTGAGCTGAGCTAGCTGATAAAGTCCCAAACATTAACTGGCATTAAGACAGTAATCTTTAATTTAGCTGTATGCTCAATTTCTCAGTTTCTAATTAGTAGTTTTTCTATTTTCCTCTTATACACTGCACTGTTAAAACATTGAAATACTGTACCACATTCCTCTGAAAAATGTCTTTTAACTCTTCCAAGTTATTTTATAGATTTAAAAGCTGCAAACACAGGAAGACTTGGAGTTATAACCAGTAATGTGCCTCAGCTAAGTTTACCATTAGAGTATAGTTATTTCCAATTAGTGTTTTGATCACTGTATTAAAGTACATAAGAACCTGAAAAGGAAAAGTGAAACCAGTATGCAAAGGTATCAAGTTTCAAATTTTAATGAATGTGTTCCTGAATGGAGAAAAGGCAAGTAGTAAAAGGGACGATCCTAAACTTGGAAAAGTAAGTGTTCACACTGGCAGACTGCAGACTCGGTTGGTTTGCCACTAAGGACATCCCCCTCTGGTTCCTATCAAGCAGCTCAGCAGAGCTGCAGCTGCCCACACAGGAGCCATCTGTCTCTGTGCTGAACCAGTCCCTCCTCTGACCCTATTTGACTGTGCCCTCCTCTAGTGCTGTCGTCATTAATGCGATTAGTGTGATGACACACAACCCAGACTCCTGTGCACTAAGATTGTGATGGAAAACTGAAGCGCATTTCCAAAGCATGAGCAGTTCACACTGTTTTTATGTTATAAATCAACACTTTCAATTCAAAGGCACATAATAAATCAAATTAACTTCGAATCAGCAAACCTCAGTACTGCAGGAAGTCATGCTGTGCTATCACCTGCTCATGTGTATATACGGGGGAGACTGCACACACTAACTCATACTGGCATGTACTTTAAAGACTAAGCAATGTTTATGACAATTCATACCAGATAAAGGTTCTACATCAGCAGGATGGTATAAGATGCTAAACACTAATTATAATGGATAAAAATACTAAGTTGTCAGCAAAAGCTAATTCTTCCTTGGAGATTTCTCTACAGACAAGAACCTTCAGAGTATTACCACACAAACTCTTCCTGAAGAAGAGGAATTAGAAATGGAGGCTCAGATGAAGAATAATATTTAAACACATTGCTAGAACTGAAGAGAGTAATTTCTGACTCACGAAGAAGAACATATTTACTGGGAAGGAAGGACACAAGTAGTATCAAGCTCATTCAGTCAAGCCAAGCAAAACAGAGTTGTAGACATTAGTCTCTACAGTTCACCAGTAAACATCTCACAGAGATATTAATAGGGAATGACTGTAATTCCTCCATCCTGCAATAAACTGAGATCATAGTAGTATTCAACAGGTATCAACTGTGTAAAAAAAGTAATCTACAAAACAATGTTTCTCAGACATTTAAGTCTCTAAAAGAGAGGCTCTCAGTTTTTCTAAATTCAAAAATAAATTTCCATGAGCAATATTTAATATTTTAAAGCTAAGTTAAAAGTTAATTGATCAGTTTATAAAGCAGAGAAATTAACACTGTTTATAGCCAGATTTTCTTCAAAACAAGTATATATAGAAACAGAAATAAACAGATGTAAATAAACAGAAGTAAAAAAAAAGGAAATAGTTATGCAGCTAGTGTTTAAATACCTGAGTCACTGCTGCTGTCACTGCTAGATGAGGAGTCACTGCTGCTGGATGACTCTGAGCTAGTACTGCTGCTATCAGAATCAGAATCTGAGGAAGAGTCTGTCTCTGAAGATGAAGAGGAATCTGATGATTCAACATTTTGCTTCTGTGTCATAATCAACTTTGGTGCATTTTTAAGATGCTCCCGTAATTCATCCCTAATTAGCAAAAAAAAAAAAAAAATGTTTTTCAATTTTATTTTTTTGTTTGCAGGGGGGAGGGAAGATGAAGAAAGTGAATATCAAATCAGACTAGTGTTCCTCACGTTAGTCCTCCAAGGCCAATTGAAGTGAAGAAATTGATGGCAAAGCGAGTGTTTCTTGGGTTATCCCGAGGCATTAATCCCTCAAAGAACGGCTGCAGTGTCCTGATGGAAACAAACATCTAAATTAAACACCATGCCAGCTCAGCACTCACTGACATCAAGAAACTGAAAAAACAAAATTGCATGGATCTCTAAAGGAGAGCAGGTTTTCTCTTCATGCATTTTTCAAGACTTTCATTGTTTGCACCTATGATGCATCTAATCAAACGCTATTTAAAAACTTGCTCTTTTATGAAAAGCAAACTTCTTCACACACAGAATTGCTACATACTGACAGATCATGTGAAGCCCTTAAGTGACTTGTAAAATTGCAGCGGCCCGTGACAGCAAAGGATAACGTGCACTGACGGAGAAGGTCAAAGACGTAGGTACCTATGTTGAAACCCCATTATACAGGGCCTTAAGTATTACTTGTTTCAAATTTAAGTTTACAAGAGCTAAATCATCTACCTAATTCTTTATCATACATAGAAAAATGCCAACTTAGAGAAAATAGCTCAAGTAATTGAAATTAACATTGCCAGAATGCAATGCATTAAATCCCATACAGAGTTAAAAGAATATGTTATTTATACTACACTTAAAGATAAGCCACTGATCCTAGAAAACCTGTTACTAATATTTGTGTGTTTTTTTTCTAATTTTTGTCAGAAAAAGAAGACATAGTAACATTTAATATGCAGCTATATAGCTGACAGTATATAAAAAAAAGACTCACACTTGGAAAATTCTTACAAAAAGCTGAATATCATTATGGTGGAGGGGAGAGGGAGAAGAGAGATCTTGCCAACAGTCATGCACATACTTGAATGCAAAATGATGGCAATACACTCAGCTTAATATGACTCTCTGCAATGACTAAATCTACAATTGATCTTATTCTTGAAGCACTGCAGCTACAGAACCCAGTTCAACTTGAACAGAGAGTTCTTATCTGTACTTTTTCAGATAAAGGAACTCATTAAATTTAGAGTTTTGAAAATAAAATTTCTACTTACTCATCTTTTAATCTTGCATTTAAATTAGGAAGTCCCATATATTCACTGAGTTCCTGAAAGAATATTTTGACAAAAATTCTACTGGAGGACGTGGTAGTTTCTTCACTCAGTATTATACATTCAAGGACCTGAAAACATTCAGAATAACATAAACCTTTAAATAAAAGAATGTATGTTTAAACTTATCTTAAAAATGTTGTTAGAAATAACTAGTAAAGACTGATTTTTATTTCTTTTTTTTTTTCAAAAGACCACGAATTCTATGATTCCTAGTCAAGATTTTCTCAAAAATTCTTTTCTAGCACCTGGGAGTAGCTTCTGATTATATTTATGTTAATAATTCTTCAAGGATTTGTTTTATCTACAAAAGTTCCATAAGAGAAAATCAGGTGTGTGAACTTTTGGGAAGTTAGAGATTTGGGACTTAAGTACAGAGGTAAAATATTTGGACTGACTTATGTGTGCCTGAAGAATGACAATTAGACTAGGCTATGAAACAAGAATAAATTACTTGAAAAGCAAAGTAACCTTATATTTACTTCTTCTTTTTTTAATGTTATTATATCTCACATATGTTATGATTTTAATGCTACTATATCTCAGAATGCAAGATTGTTTTATTTATTTGGTACTTAAATCATCAAATGACAGTACTTTTTAAATGTCTTAAAATTCTACACAACTGTATTTTTTCAGAAGATTAAAAGTTCAAAATTGTTTTCTAAAAGATGTACATTATAATCAACCAATTCCAGCTAAGTTCCATAAAGTGACATAAAGCTTAAATCAACTACTGAAAAATGGTGAGGAAGAATGATGATGTACAACGGGCAAAAAGAGGAGATGGAACCAACCAGAATTGTTCAACAGTGTCTGATACTTAACATAATCCAGTTTGCTACAAGTACAAGTAGCTCCAAATTGCAGAATAAATACTAGAACTAATACATTACATATTATTGTGGAGTACTGGAGATTAACTACTGAAAAAGAAATCTATGACAATAGCTCTTTGTTTTGAACTTACACTCCAGGGAATTGAATCAGTGTATAGTAGATGAGCAAACATCTTGGCAACATTTCTCAGTTTGTTCGTTTCCAAACGATGAATGGTATCATATTGTTCTTTGAAAATAGCTTCGAAGGATTCCATGTATTCTTTTTTTAACATGCAGAAACGCTGAGACAAAATTGTACAATTTAAACAACAGATTAAACAAAATACTAAATATGCAAATAACCTACACGTAAGTGACCTAATGGTGTGAATATTTACTGCAACATTTCCTTTTTAAATAACCCTTGGAGGAAGAGAAAACACATTCAAATGGATATATTTTATTGCTTTGAGCAGTTGTCAGAACAAGAAACTCATCTGCATTGCAAAGTAGTGATTATCAATTTTGAATTATCCAGCAATTTGTTTTACTTCTATACATCCAGTATTTTCACCAGATTTAACCCCACTTTTTTCATGACATTATTGAATAACTATTTCAATTTAGAGAAGCAGCGGGAAACACAGAGTTTAGGACATTTTGGATCTAAACATTCCAAAGAACATGGAAATAAAAGTTTATATTCATCTGAACATGCAGATTTGTCTGGTTAGTGCTTGGTAACTGACTGTCAGCAGATGGATTTCCTCGAGTACTGGATGACAAATAGAGATGAAAAAACCCACTCGCTTTCAGCATAACCTGCCCCCTTGAGAATACAAGTACTTCATCTTAACTCTTCAGATCTGTCAATATTACTGATAAGGAAAACCTAAGAAAGAAATCACTGCAACTAAATCAGCAGACAGTTACACAAAAACAGAGAATTAGCTGATTATTGAAAAGCAAACAAAACACTCACAGGCCCGGGAGAGTAACTATTCAATCTTGTGCTCTAAATTAGTCCTACTAAGCACTTCTGAAAGAAGTGGTAAATGAAAAGAGTCTCCAAAATTAATATTCAGCACTGTAAAAAGGTTCATAATACTTTTGTCTTTTTAGTACCATTTCTTTGCCACTGATTTATTGTTCTACCATAATGAGAAAAAAAGGAAGGAAAAATAAGCAACATTATAAAGGGAAAATGAGTTCTCTCATTCTGCATTCACTATGCTCATTAAAATCAAAATGTTAATTCAATGCACTAATACAATTAACTAACATAAGCATTTTCAGAATGATAAGAAAGGCTTTTAGTTTTATTTATCCGTTAAAACTTAAGTTTGACACACAAAAAGTAGAGTAAACCAATGAAATTTTCTATCATAAAGCATAAAAATCTGAAAACAGAACTCACCCCAGCCAGTAACCCGAAGAATTTCTCGTATGTTCTTTGCTGAGCACAGCAGTCAAGTATCATATTGCAGAGTTCTTTCTGGGTTATGGAAAACAAATATTTCTTTAGGTAAATTCACAGTAGCAGCAAACACCCCATCACTAAGAACCAAATAACTGAAGAAAGCCTTACACGGGAATGAGCTTTGAAACGAGCATTTACATAAAACTTCATGGGTGACACCAGTAGTTTTGTGAATTCCTCTGGGATGTGAATATGAACTTTTGCCCTTCAAATTTCCTCTAACACACTGTTTATCTAATTTAAAAAAAAAAAGTCAGAACTCATTTACAAACTGACTTTACCACAGTGAAAAAAGGAGATATAAGATAAAAGGTAAGGTTTTGAGGGCTTTTTTGGCGATTTTGTTTTTGTTTGTGTGTTGCTTGGTTTTTTTGAGTTTTGGATTTTTTTGTTTGTTTTAAATAGCATCAATTCCTGCATTTATAGGAAATGAAAACTCTTCACAACTTTCAAATGTCAAAATGGCTTAGAGACAAGCTATTTGAAAACGCCATGTGCACGGTTAGCAATGTATTTCGAAAATCCGAAATATCTATAGTTTTTGGTATATACTAATACCTTTATTCAGCTATAGTTTTCCTGACAAGCTTCTGCAAGCAGAAGGCTGCATTACAGTGCATTGCTTCAGTCCTGAGGGTGATGTTCAGAAAGACTAAACCTTGGGAGGCCAACATGCCTAGACTTACTCTATAACAAAGGGAATGAGAGGAACTTTTCTAAAGCAGCAGTTTTAGGCTTGTATTCAGAATCACCCTTTAGAAAAGCATCTCTCCTTGCCTAGGAAGAAGCAGAGGCAGCCTAACTAGATTAGTCTCCCAAAACTTCTGTGCATCCCCCATCAGCGACAGCCTGCCTTTCACTTTGCTGTCTCCATGGTGAACACAGATGTAAGCAACAGAAGATGCTCTCCTTCCCTTACACCAACTACCTGGAACAGTTAGTTCAGTCTTTCTGGAATATAGACTGACTGTTTGCCTTTCTCCTCCTCTCCCAAGAACCGGAGGGAAACACCCGGACGGATTGTGCTCTGTACCCTCATCTCTAGGACCAGCGCCCTCCACTGGCCGAGAGCAGTGAGCCAGGCAAGTAAGTCTACACAAGTTTAAAACCAAACTTATTCCCTGACCTACTACGTAAGTTACAGATTGTAATACAGCTAGGAATTGGTTTAGGGCATATTTGGAAACATTAATTAAGAAAAGTGAAAGAAGCACTTTTATATAAATTAACAGCCATGAAAAACACAATGCAACTGCACTGCAGTTTTTCCCCATTCCCTTTTTTTTTCTATTACTGTTTTCTCATTAAGACCAATTCCATAGCATAATCCAATTTATGACACTTCCAAATATGTTTCTGGCTATTAGCCACTGTATGTTTCATTATTAATTTCTCTTTAAACTAATACTAACACTCCCCTAAAAAAGGATGATTACAAGCATTTTGTTCTCACACCAATTTACTGTAGCATACACTACATTTCATATTCTCCCACTTGTGCCATTCCTTCAAGCATATATTCAGAAGAAACATTTTTGCCCATCATAAAAACAAAAAAAAAGGCCAACCATGCTGAAAAAGAAAAAAAATACCCCCTCAAATAACAAGGCAGTAATGTACCAAATAAACTTAGAGATGTGTTTAAAGGCATTCCTTTTAACACTGTCACACTCTGTTAGTGTGATGTATTAAAATGCATATTAACTTTTTATATCATCCCATTTTATAGGATTGCTGCAGTTAATCAGTTTTTAAACAATAAAAAGGGTAAAGTGCTGATGTCACTGTTAATAACATCAGGAAGACTTGAAAAACAAATTACTTTTCTTCCTCATCTTAAATGCAATTATAACATTGGTATCCCCTGTGGTTTACAGTAATTAAATATTTTAACATTTTAATTAAATATTACAAAGATTTCTAGGAGGGTGGCTTGAATAACCACATGCATGAAAATAGATTTTCCCGTAAAGACATTCCTTGCTAGTGTTATCTAAACAACTCGAGGCTAAGTCTAGAGTAACTGTCTTCCAGATTTAAAATTAACAAACTTTACAATTATTTAATTGCTTTTTGAGAGATGTGACAAGTTCAGACAGCAATTCCAGCTTAATTTCCAGCTTCAAAGGTTAGTTAACTCATTTCTGTACTCTCAATGATGTTTATGGCAGGAAGAGCCTCTGTTATTTAGCCCATCACTTGTTTTGAAGAATGTAATGAATTTGTTCCGCAGTTTTACAGGCAATTCATATACTGTGGTGTTCAACAATTTTCATTCAATGCTCAACAAGTGACTTCAGCTTAGCTAAGAAAATTTGTACAGCTATCCAATCATGAAATAAACCACTTCAAAAATACCTGACATCTCATCCAGATGGTGACTGATCTTTTGTGAAGATCTTGAATTTATTATTATATCATGGATAACAACAGCACTTCCCAAAACTACTAAAACAGAAGATAAAGAGAAAAGCTCCCTCAAAATGCACTGCACTTCTCACACTTCTCCCTGAATGTTTCCAACTAGCTCTTACCCAAACACAGCAATGGTTTAGATGAACCACGCTTCCACCTAACATCAAGTATCATCACACATTTGAAGATGCTAAAGGGTAAGCCAGGAAAAGACGGAAAAATTGGACTTGTTCTTTTTCTCAGTTTTACCATATTAAAAACAAGCACACCCTGCCCAGTCTATATGCTCTCAGCCTCATTTTTTAGCAATTTCTTTAAGATTTACATTCAGCTAAGACTGGAATTTTGGAGCTGCCCCATAGGCTGAGGAGATCTCCTCCATGAGGAGTCTCTACTCCCCTCCCTATCTGGCAGGGATGCCATTTGCAGCTCCCCTCCCTTGCCAGCCCCACAGCTCTGTTCATCCATTGCATACACGAACTGAAGCCACCTCGAGACATCCCCACCCAGTAAGGTAATGTGGCTTCTTAAAGTAGAGAACTATCAATGCCAACCCTTGGTTTCTAAGAGTTTCTTCGCAGAACTAAAGGAATTGATTTGCTGGGAGCAAACCTAGTGAAGGAAACAGGTTCATTTAAATCAATGTGAAATTCGAATTATGTGAAATAAGTGCCTTGCATTTTGTAGATCTGCACTGCTTTTACAGATGCTAAATTTTTCCATTTTTCTCTTTCATTTCACTGAAGTGTATTTTACTCCCTCCGACTACCCTAAAGCTTTGCTTACTGCTCTATATTCTAATATGTGTAACAATCACACAGGCCTATTTTTCCAGCATCTCTGCTCTTTTTCTTCCTTATTTGTCAAATTATGACATGGAGCCAAGGTTGGCAAAGCTATGGAAGGTGTTTCAGCAGCAGGTGGCCTCTTGGCAAACTATGCAGTGCTTTTGGCAGCTACTACACTGTCTCCAGGTCGGTCCCCTGGTCAGCTAACAGTCTTCCTCAATTTTTGTCCCTTTATTTACCATTGTTTACCCCAACTTGTTCTATGTTTAGAGCAACATATGCTTAAATTGAATATGGTAAACAAAAATCTCGCATACATCAGACTTAACATTTCACACAGGAATCATTAACTGGATACAAGGACAGATATATTTTTAATTCTTGTTGCTATAAGTCTGCAACACATAAACACACACAAAAGAGTTTGGTGAAATAGCACATAAAAGCCCCACAAGTATTTCTTTCCACCTGAAGGCTACACATGCAAAACATCATTTTAAGTGATTCCACTGAGGTAATCTGAGCAATTCCATCTCCTTAGGTTAAATGCATGCATACATACATGCTTGGAAGATCAAAGTCTAGTCAGAATTCTAGCTAATGCCTAATCAGTAATACACAAATACAGCCTAACTCTGTATGGATTCTATACCTTGATTTTGTAAACATGAACATATACCACAATACGGCATGTACATGCTTTTTTTTTAATTGGTAAATTATGAAAATTCAGACTGATTCCACATCTCAGGCCCATGAAAAGTCCTGCTTCAGAAGATAGGAAACCTACCTGAGGATGAGCACCTTTTACAGGTAATAGCAACTCTGTGAACCAATCACGGTGCAGATGCCAAACCTACCAGTTGCAACACCCTCCAATCAGAAAGCAATGAATCTAAGAAATCATCCATTTGACCTGAACAGAATTATCAGCTTTAGACCATCCCGCTCTACACCAGAGTTTCCTGAACTACATTTTCACTGAATGTCAAGTCAACATAAGTACTTCTGTTATCTTCAAGACTCAATGCATAAGTAAAGCAAGAGACACACTCCCACACCTCAAACTAGGGTTACTTTGAGCAAGTGACACCATCTTGTAAAAATGAAGATGTGTCAGATGCACGCATAATTCTTTCAAGAAGGCTGTGCCTACAATAACTTTTCTCATTTCAAGGAAAAAGAGAAATAAATTATCCCATGACCCATCACTTTTGTCTAGGATATCCACACTGGGGGGCAGACAGAGAAGAGGCTTTAACTTGAGTGAAGTTTCAAGCACTGCTGTATACAAATGTAGTTCTAATCACAACCAAAAAATGGAAAAAAAGCCTAAAAGCCAAACCCTTTTAGGCACACTTTCAAAAAGCAAGAACAGTGTATGGTTGGTTTAATTTTTTTGGCTGTCCCCACCACTCTTGAGGGACACTGGGCAACAAGTCATGACATTTCCATCTTCAAAAAAAAAGAAAGAAAAAAGGAAAAAAACCCTATATTCCTAATGTATGTTTTTTTAAAGAAGGATCAATTCTATATCTAAGCAGTTGTCACTTCTGCATACTCTTTTATTAATAACGGTTAGGAAACTGAACTCTTTGGGTTTTTTTTAACTAAAAATGACAGAAACAGAAATGTACTCCCTCCAAGACCAGAGGCAACAAAAATCTGTTCAAGGTAAGCATAATGTAAAAAGTCTATTTCTGACATTTCAGTAGGGTTTGTTTGTTTGCCTTCCTCATAGTTCAGAAGCCAGAACAACTGGTAATACCATACTCCAACTACAGTTTCAATTTATTTAAATTGTCTTCTTTAGTAATGCATGGGATTAATGTAGCTTCAACAAAGAAAATAGTACTTTTTAAAAAAGGAGAAACTGTGTTCTCTGCCAAGACTGAGCATATGTCCAAAAAAGCAACTTCAAGGCTTATTTAGAACAGCTTCTCACAGGCTGTAGTACAGATTACAACAAAGCTTTTCAACTTTTGATCTGCAGCTTTCAGTTGGGTCTAAGTAACATGAATAAAAGCAAACCTACTCCTAGAAAATTTATGTGGAAAAGAAAGAATTTCAACTCTTTGAATGTTTTTCCTCCTTAAAAAATATAATTAGAGGACTGTTGACATCGCCCTCAGCAGCTGGTACTAAACTGCAATGCCAAAAAGAAGTATTATGTTGTTCTAGTCTGTAGATTATCCATTTGAACCTTAATCCTCTTTGTGCAAGTCAGAGCTGTGCGACAGATCCATTACTGGTATTAAGCACACAAACACTTGTGTTGCACAGCAGTTAATGAAGCTTTCTGTAAAACAGACCATAAAAGAAAAAGGTGCTTTATGGTTAAAAAACTAATAGTAAAGAATTATAGAATCACTAAGGTTGGAAAATACCTCTAAGATCAAGTCCAACCACTAACCCAGCACCATCGTGTTCTCCACTAGATTATACCCTCAAGTGCCACATAGACACATCTTTTGAACACTTCCAGGGATGGTGATTCTACCACTTCCCTGGGTAGTTTGTTTCAATAACTGACCAACCTTTTACTGCAGAAATTGTTCCTACCATCTAAGCTAAATTTCTTCAGGTGGAACTTGAGGCCATTTCTTCTGGTCCTGTCCCACCTCACTACAACCTCCTTTTGGGTACTTGTACAGAGTGATAAGGTCCCCTTTGAGCCTCCTCTTCTCCAGACTAAGCAACTCCAGCTCCCTCAGCCACACACAGCACTAAAGGTGTGACCTCAGCAGTGCCAAGTACAGGGGGACAATCACTTCCCTGGCCCTGCTGGCCACTCTATTGCTGATACAGGCCAGGATGTCATTGGCCTTGGCCACTTGGGCACGTGCTGCTCCCATCCAGCCAGCTGTTGACCAGCACCGCCAAGTCCTTTTTTCCCGGGCAGCTTTCCAGCCGCTCTTTCCCAGCCTGTTGCGCTGCCTGGGGTTGTTGTGGCCCAAGTACAGGACTTGTCAGTTTAACTTATTGAACCTCACACTGCTGGCCCTGGCCCATCCATCCATCGTGTCCAGATCCCTCTGCCTTCCTGCTCTCCTGCAGATCAACACTCCTGCCCAACTTGGTGTCATCTGCAAACTTACTAATGGTTTATTTTAATAATGAAGGCAGGGGGAATTGGTTCAATAAAGGTTTCAACCTGAAGATACTAGCTTGAAAGAATAAAAGATGATTTTCCTAGTTTAAAAACTGGCAGTTAATTTAAACAAATTTCCTCCTAAGTGCATTCAGTTTTTTTTTATCCACATGGACAGACTTGAGCCTCATAAATCCTTGAATAATTTCATTGCCCATAACTGCTTATTCTTTCTGCTCTCTCAACGACCACGAAGCATCTTCTTTGTTTCTTTTTGCCCCCAAAAACGAGCTTAGTTCTATACAATGAGCAAGTCAAAGCTCTCACATCTTTGGTTAAATGAGGTGAAGAGTAATTACAATTATTAGAGAAAAAAAGGAATCAGCACAAAGAAGAGGCCTCATGTGATAAGAAGATGCAGTTTTGCAACATTTTTGGACCTTGAATTGCAGTAATTCCTATAACTAGTACTGAATAGTAGGGTCATACTACTTGTTGGGGTTTTCTTCCTTCCCCTACGAAATTTACTTTTTCTGAGCAGATTTTGCTAACAGAAGTTAGGAGTTGACAGAGACTGCCATGATATGAAATACCAGTTTTCTGAGCAGTTATCAAACAAGCAGGTAGTGTTATGCACTATGACTGTTATATGACGTACATATATTCTAGAATGTTAGCTCTATTCTTTAGAGCTGAATTGATTTGCCAGAAATTTTTTTTCTCTTTAGAATTCTTCAGGTTATGCTTCACTGAGAATTACAACCTTGTGCATGCTTAGGATTGCACTTCAAGCACAGAATTAGAGAACTAGACAAAAAGGTCTTAGTTTACTTCCATTTAAATTGCTTAATAACAAAATAAAACAAAAATTGAAAAACTGATGGGCAAACCAGTTCTCAAGGAGCACCTAACCATAGCCCAGACCTCCCCTCACTAGTGTTATACCAATAATGTTACTTACTACATACATTGTTTCAAATAAAACTGATCATTAAAGCCACAAGGAAATTAACAACTCTCTCCAATGCAACTCCCATGATGATAGCTTACAGCTGACTGAAAAGCTGTTTATAAAATTAGATGGGTATTTACATTCTACCAATGTAAATATATTCTACCAATATCAAATATAAGTACCAGATTAAGAACAACTTCCTTTACTTGAAAACATACCAATTGTATTGATCTTACAGAATCTGAAAACAAAACAGCTTATATCTGATAATCTACAAGTTACAGCAATCATACTAAAAACTGCTTTAATTCAATACACTGTTTATTCAAAGAAGACTGTGAAAGCAACAAATCACCACACTCTTTTAGCACTATGCTAAATTTCAAACCCCAGTGATAAAGTCTACAACTGTCTGCAAATATTTTCAACCCCACCTTCTTTCAGAGACAGAACTCTGACTGCCACACTGCAGTATTCTTGTCACAGGATAAAAGTTTCAACAGTTTCAACAACAGACCTTTTCAAACAGCAAACATTTGGGTTGCTTGACAGAAAAGAGCAAATGCATAAGACAAATTGCTTATGAAATATGTGTCAGTCTATTTGCTCTAAAGGTCATGAAATTCATTTTGAGGAACAGCTGTAAGGAATCACTCATTCCTCTGGCTGCTACACAGACTAGGTCCCAGAACACGAGCAAGGATTTTAGATACTACCATTGTACTATTTCTTAATAAAAAAGAGTAAGAAACAAGGCTTACAGTCTGACTTTCAGGAAAGTCCATCTTCAGCAGTTTGTGAGCACATTCTTCAAAGTCTAAGCTGAATAGAAAAAATACTTCTCATTATCTGTGCAATATATGCCATACTAAAAAAATTTCAGAATTATATTAAGATTGATCGTTGGTGCTGAAACTTCCAACTGTTTGGAAATAAAGTATCTCAGCTGTTTAACTTGATGGGGTTTTATTGTTGTTGGGGGGGGGATAATATTTCTTGCGTTTGTCTCTGAAAATTCATCCGAATTGATTACATTTGTGAACCATCTAAAAACAAGATTACTCAAGTCATTATTATTACATCATCTTACAAAACGACATAAAACATAAAAAAGGAGCTCATTTTGCACATCCTGAAACAGTCTGAAATGCAAGCACTGCACATAAGATCCAAAGGCAGTATATATATATCACACTCTCCTCTTTACGCTCCTGTTCTGAAAGCCTTTAGCTACCCACAGTACCTCCTCCCACCCAAGTAAAAGACAAAGTTCAGTATGGCAAGAAACTATTTAACAGCAACTTTGAGAAACATAATAGCCTTCCATACCTCTCAGTATGGTATTAATTCATATGTCTAATGATCAATACCACAACTACATTACCACACTCCTCATGTAGGTTCAGACCTGCAGAGTATTATGAGCCATGCCTACTTTTAATGACAGTGGCAATTCAGTGGCATGCAACAGATCAATCTCCCCTCTCATCCCGGTGAGACAGGAGCTATAATACCATGTTTTGATCATCTGTGCCACGTACTGCAAGGGGATTTCATTCTCAAGACAACTTCAAATAGGTACACTTCAGGGTTGGTATCTGTATACTTGTTTTTCAAGCAATACAGAAGTTAACAGGCCTAAGGAGAATCGCACTGCAGAACTCCTCCCAGAAGTGGAGAAAATCTGCTGCATTTCTAAGTTTGTCTAAATTTTTTCATAAATTCTTAAAATGCTATATAATCTAAAGATCACTGACTTTCTTCACTGAGAAAATTCTGATTACAACAACAGTCATAGAAACGTCCCAGTTCACTACTCAAAACATTTTGAAACAAACAAGATATTTCTGAGAAAGAGAATTTGAGTATCCATTTCAAAACAGTCTGCTTTACATAGTCAGGTCAGGCTCCATAACGAACAGTTCCCTACTTTGTTGTTTTTTTGTTTTTGTTTTTTTTTTTCTAAATTTTGTATTAAGAAAAAACTTTAAAAGGAAGAGAACCACAGTTCACCCATTTCAAAAGAACTCCACTTACAGGTGTACAAATCATATTACATTTACCTCGACTGAATAGCAAGATAAATTGTACGACGGAAGGAGACCAGGTTAATTTCTGTTTTGTCATGAACAGTAACTTTTTGGCCTGGAAAATAAAAACATGGTTTTATAAAGAGCAAAACATTAAGGAAGATATATGTAGCAATCTCTTAGCAGAGCTCTATTTATTATTTACTGCACCTGTAGCGCCCTATTTTTCTTGAAATATTTAGGGCTGCTTATCATGTTTATGTATTTTTTTAATCTTTATTTTTAAAGATAATGAAAAAATTAGAAATCGTTATTTGCTTCATCTAACATGAAAATATTTAGATACCCTTTTAACAGGGTAATTCTACTCTTAAATTCCTCTTTTAAAGACTTTTCAGGTGACTTAGTTACTGCAACCTCTGAGTTTAATATTTCTTGTCTACATTATTAGCAACCTATTTTCTGCACAATTTATCTATACAATGTTTTATGTGGCACCCCTGATTTAAACAGGTGATTCTTAGTTTCTGTTATGTGTAGGATCTATGTTACATCATTCTGCAAAGCTCTGTTTCGTCCTGCAGTAAGTGCAGAAAAATCTGTTCTGAACCAAGCCATTCTGTGAACACTCATTTGTAAGGTATTCACTACTCCTTCAGTCTCTTCAAGTTTGAAGCATAAATGATGAAAGGTTATGTGAATGATCATACTTTACATCAGCCTGCAAGCTCTGCTCTTCTGTGAAATACCCCAGCAAGCTGGTAAGGAAATCCATTACTGCTATTCCACAAGAACAATACTTGACTGCCTTTTCAATTACTCATGCAGTCTGCACAAACACTGTTTGCAAGGCTTTTCTCACAGAGAACTGATACGTCAAGAATAACTGGGCAAAGTTGCTTTTCTGTTTTTGCCTGTGTTGAATGCTTTCTTTAAGACAATTACTTTTATACTATTTGCTAGTAAACACTTAGATCTGAGAATAAGGTGAAAACACCCCTTAATATTTGAGCATCTTAGTTTTGCAAAACATCTAAGAAGGTAAGCTTTCCCATTTCATCTACAATCAATCACTAGTAAGGTGCCAGTTATGCACTTACCATCTTCATCCTCTTCTTCATCTTCTTCTTCATCTTCCTCGCTACTTCCAGCTTCTTGATCTCCTTCAGATTCAGTGTCACCTTCATCAAGAATTTCTGAAAGAGGAGTATCACAGATTATTAAGGAATATAAATCACAATATTTTCATTACAAAAAAAACCCTGATCCAACACATAAAGAGTGAAAGGATATCTTAGGTGGAGAATGTGGCAGAAGCAAAAAACCAAAACAACACTGAATAGCAGGAACACAATGATGACCTGAATGACAGTTGCTTAGGACAGAAATACCCCCACTGCTGAATGACAGTGCTTAGGACAGAAATACCCCCACTGTTAAAGAATAAGGCTGGCAACAACAGTTGGATAAAGAAATGCCACAGGTAAGTTAAGTACACAAACATCACATATAAAATGTGTATGCACATGAATACCCCTACCTTTCTTCAGTGTTTTGTATTTCTCTTCATTTTCCATAAAGTTCGGATCCATCTTGAAAACATCTTTAGAACAAAAGAGAATCTTTATTTAAAATACAAATTGAAGAAAACAGCGAATATTTAATCTTGATTTTGTTTTCTCAGGAAATGCAGTCACAGAATTATCTTCCATTTCTAACTTACTAAGAACATCCTCTGGGTTGTAGTCATCTTCTAATGGCAACATATGAGTAAACTGATCCTCCTCTTCAACTAGATCTAATCCCTCTGGAATAATTGGATGATCCTTGAAGCCATCCTTCCGTACAGCAAACATGACTTCTATCATATACTGAACACGCATATCAATTTTAGATTCATGCAGAATGTGTCGAAGACGGTCAAAGATTGCTTTGGAAAAGAAAGAAATGTAAATATGAAAAAGATTTACTAAATACAAATGACAAAAAGGCGTGTTTTGGCTAACTATACTTACCATTAATACCTCTAGGAGAAACTTCTGTTAATTTTAGCCCACTCTCTTTAATAAATCCAATTGCTACTTCAATACTGTCATCAGTAGGCCTTTCAAGGAGCAAAGTTAGCATTTCCAAACACAAAACCTCATGAGCCTATGAAAGAAATATCAGCAATTAATTAGAATGCACAATGTTACACTATCATCACAATGATTTACTGGACAGATCTGTACAGACTTTGAGGATGTCACAACACACTAATCACACACACAAGGCAACAGTAGTAGGACAAAGCTGCTTAAGATGAAGTCCAAATTCAAAGAGTTTTACTATCTCTATTTATACCAACTTCATAGTAAATGTGACTCTGCTATTGAACAAGCAAGCAATGAAAAACTTTGCCATTAAAAAAAAAATATAATGCCTTTCCAAGAAACAAATAAACCAGCACTTGCATTACAGAAACTAGTTCTAAGTGCATTTTGTCTATAAATACATCAGTTCTTCCAGGATTAGGCATATAAGCAAATGGCACATTTCGGATTAGCTTCCTCTTTACCAAAATGCTGTACATTCCCAAAGCATTCCTGAAACACTGCTTCTTGCCATTATTTAAACTTGAGTATCCTGATTTATCACACATAAACAAGGTGCATAGAGCTGGACACAAATTTGGTTTAGATGTAACCAAGTCCAGTTCCGCTTACACAAATGTTGCAAGAAAACTCTCTTTAAGATCTGTGGGACAGAGCCTCAGACGATCCTTGCTTTGCATCAAGACTTGTCCGAGCAGTAGCCCATGCATACATATGAAATCTGGGGAAGCTCTGGAGCATGAGTGTAATGATGAGTGATGATAACTGCACAAACAATGACCAACGTCTTTTCTAAAGAGGTCCTAACAACTTAGGGTAGGCACCACACTCAGGTTTTCAGGAACATTTAGAGCAGGGATTGCATGTTCACTCAGGCTACTGCTGCCTTAAAATTATCCATATATATGGTTTGGATTGAATAGAAACATGAAGTAACATACCACATTCTGATTCATCAAATGTGCGACAAATTTTGAAGATGTTAGACAGAGTTGCTGCAAAAGAAAGAAAAGAGGAAATTTTAATGTACGGAAAAAAATGTGTAGTTCAAACATACTATAGATTTGTGCATCTCACAATAAAATTAAGTCAGGAGTTGTTTGCAATTAGGACTGTAGACTTTTAAAAAGAAAAAAACCCCAAAACTATCACAGTATCAACCCAGAATAGGTTGTCAAACTTTCAGGATACTCTAATACTACTAAATGTACTAAAGACTGATCTCAACTAGTCTTAGCCGTGTCCTTTCAAGTATGTAATTCGACCACACTTGATACAGTTACACAGCAGGATTACAAGTTTCAGCATGTTGCTTCACATTTTACATACCTTGTCATTTCTGCGATATCCTTTGCGAAAATTTAGTATCAACCTCTTGAGAATCAATTCACCAATATTTGGAAACTTTGAATTGATAATTGCCACAAGAGCTGCATAAACATGAGTAAAAATCGGAGAGGCACTCTGAGCTTGCAAAATGGATCTAGACAGCAATCCCCTGTAAAAATAGATAGGTTTTAAGATTTTTCTGGTAATAAGACGTAGCATTTTTATTCAGTACTTATCACATAAAATAGTATTGTGCAGTTGGAATAACTGGAAGATACTAGATGGTCATTTTCAAAATGTTGTTTATCATGCCACAAATTGAGTTTGGCAAAACATGTTGTCCAGATCTGCGTGAACTCAGAAATTCTTACAATGGTACCTCATCTTTCATTAAATATTGTTCATTTAGAAATACAACTGAAAAAGTTAAGCATGCAAAGAGCCATCTTGTATCCTGCAATTATCCCTTCTTTAGCCCCAACTTAGGGGCTCATTATAAAACACTACTATTTAGAGCCTAAATGAAAGTAAACACAGGGCTCATGAGAATAGTTGTTTTATTATACTAATGATCCTTCCTACATATATTCCTACTTACTTTGGAATTGACAAATGGAATAGAACTCATTTCATACCAGTGCACAGAAGCAGAATATTTCCACTTTGAAACTATTAGTTACTTCTTTCTTACAAACTGAAACTGGTCTGTTTCAGTTCTTATTTATCCTCTACTTAAAAACATCAGAAAATGACTTGACAGCTAGGTAAAACTTCATGTCATTACTTTTAGATGCACCTTCGTGCAAATCTGGAAGTTGGACTTCAGTGTAAGAAGGAGAGAAGTGGAGCCATTTCCCACCTACATTACTTTGACATTTATAAATCAGACACAAAACCTTCCACAAGTATGTTCTACAGACATTCGGTAAGTTCATTTCCAAATTAAAATTCTATTGCTTGTGTGAAAATAATGTTTCGGAGACATGAAATGTGGGCAAGTAAAAAGCAGTCCAACAAGTCCCAGAGACTTCATTAATACTTTTATCAGGAATGACATTCAGAAACTACTTGCTCAGTCTCTAGATTTTACTTAACTCGTGTGTTGGTAGTTTGGTTTTGTGTGTTTAAACGGTAGCCAACCTAAGAAACCCATGCTCCTTAAGACTTGCAGATTTAACCCCTAATGACATCAAAATTAATGCAAGGAAAGTCACCACACAATACTTGCACAATCACCATGACCTAGTACTGAGCTCAAATAGCAAAATCATCTTTTCTCTACATTACAACAATAAACAACAAGGCAGGTAACTGTAGTAAAACTTGTATTGCCAAATGCTGACTGCAAGTATTATTTGTCCCAGAGAAAAAACATCCAGCACCACAAAAATAAACAGTCAGTGACAACCGTAAATTACAAGTCAAGTAAAACACATAGGGAAAACCTTTAAGAAGTAGTCACACTGTTTTATTCCACCAAGCATTCAATCCCTTTCCCAAGTAAGGGACTATTCTGCATAAGACAATATAGCCCAAGGTAATTTTAAAATCTGACCAGAACCCATACACTACACATAGCACACACTGTGCTGTACACATGAACAGCACACATAGTACCAGAAAAGCAAAAGAATTATTTTAAAATACTAAGACTTACCTTCCCCTAACAATATTTTCCTGAAGCAGCTCATGAATGATGTTTTCTATATTGGAAACGTTCACTTTATTGACAAGACCATTGATCGACTTCTTCAAGGCTTCCCAACTCATCCTCTGATATGCCAAGCTATTACAAAGGCATCACAAATTATTAATGCATAGATTTTAAGTAGCTCTAAGTAAATTTATATATACATATAAAACTAACATTCACATTGTCATTTCAGGAAAGAAAATATTCACTGCATAAACATGAAGATTAGTTCACATCTATACATTTAACTATTAGAAAATCACTGATACACCAAAATGTAATTGTGTGTAGATATGGTATAATCCAGTATGTTCAGCTTTCTATGCTGTTCCAAAAATTCCCTAGCTACATTCTGTATCCCACTTTGCCATTCACATTTTGCAGCAGAAGCAAGTACAATTTTAATCTGATTCTCTTATCTCTCTTCTGATAAAAATACACCTTCAAAACAATGATCACATCCCTTTAAATGGATCCCATTTTGCCAGCATTCTCTAAAACCCTTAAAAGTTTTGCTTTCAGCAAAAAAAAAGGCACTTTCAACTCACCTATTTTTATCAGTGATTTGCTCTTGCATCATCCTGAGCTTGGCAGGTGGAATATATGCACCACCTGTGCGAGTAAGGATTGGATCCACTTCTTCTTTTTTCTTCTTTGAAGGGGCCTCATCATGAGCCAGTGAGCTCTGAACTGTCGACCTCTCTGGACTCCTCCGATCAGGTGATGAATACCTTCTCTGCTTCCTCCGATCATATTCTCTCTCCTCCCATCTGTCATAGTGTCTATCTCTCCCCCTTTCCATTCTTCTAAAAAGAAACAAACACCCAAGGGTTTGTGAAAATTTTTCACATTTTATTCTTTACAATAAGCCTTTTATTACTGATAAAGAAACAGCTTGATACCTTCCATCTGAAGTTCTGTCATCATAGTATTCCCTTCTGGAATATTCCTGATCATATCTGCTGTCATCAGAGTATCTTCTCTTTCTGGGAGATGGAGACCCATCATGCTCCATATCCCTGCTTGCAACCCAAAACACAAAAATCCTTAGTAAAAGACTGAGAAAAGCAATGTATTGATATAACATCTACTTACAACACAACGTCACAATGCACAACTGTTCTAATTCTACAATTTGAGTTTCAATAAGCATCATTCAAATAAAAGAGTCTACTTTTATAATACTTTCTTGTCAGGAAAAAATTATCAAAAAATCAAAGTTCTGTAAAAGGAAGTTCCTCCTAGAATCTAAAATTAAATGCTAAATATTAATAACATTAAATACCAAAGGTAAATTCAGCCCCGTGCATTCACCTACTTTTGCTTGTGCAGCACAAAATCTTGCCCTAAAACGGCAATTGTGGTATCAGCAATATGTGAGTTCAAGTAAAAAGCAGGTATCTAATTTCCATTTTCAAGTCCCACGATAATTTAAATAAATGCTAATAATTTTTAAAGATTAAGTTCTAGTAATAAATCTATTTAATTACTGTTATATTGACATGCAAATATTTTATTAAACCTATACTTACTTTTCACTGCTCAGTTACGGTAATATAAAAAAAGAAACATAACCTGACGATTTTTTTAACTTCCCAAAATCAGTATTTATACAGAATTGAAAGGTATAAAACTCAGTGTACCTGTCCTCTGGAGACAAACTTTCTTGTCGGGAACTGTAGTTTTCCTTCCTTTCATGGCTAGAACCATGCTTTAAGAAACAAAGAAAAAAAAAAATCAACCCCAGCATGACTGTGAACACACACCTTCAGAACAAGGCATACCATGTCTTCAGTTCTCTACTCCTTTACAAGAAGGGTCACCAAATAAAGCTAGTGGCAGTCAGTTATGACAAGAGGAGCTGGTTCTACTAGTAACACGTAATTAAGAACTGGACTCCCTGCTACAGGATGCTGCAGATGCCAAATGCTTACATGGGTTCAAGACACTGGACAAACACTGGAAAAATCCAGGAGTTACCAAAAAAATTTATCTGGCACAGGAAGCTCCAAACACGTAGAGAGTGAGAGTGTATGTGGGCAAGTACTTTTATAATTGCCCTGTTCCTAAATTTTTCAAGCCATCTGCTGTCGATGACTGCTGGAGGCTAGAGTATATGGACCACTTCCCTGCTTCCTCCTTCCAAATGCCGTTTTCCTTTGTTGCATCACATGCAATACCATTAACAAAATTCCACCACTTCCTGTTTGAAGAGTGTCTTTCCTCTCTCCTAAAAACCCCCTTTATTGAGTAATTTCTCCCTATCTTCTCGCTTTTTACTAACCATGATTTATTTTCTCATGAGTCATTCCTAGTTTCATATATAAACACCGAAGTAACACTGTTCTATCTGGCAGATTTGCAGGATTGTTTGTCATACACACCTAAACAGTTCACACCAAATTCCATGGGCTGAACATGACATATGGAAGTATGGAGTCATACCCAGAAATCAGAGCATGACAGCATCTACAACATACACAGAAAGACATTTCTCAAGATGTTTTAAAACTACTTTGGTAGAGTTAAGAAGCAGCTTTTGTAATCTCAGTACTTTTATTCCAAAGGTCCTCTCTTCACTCAGAACATTATTTATCATTTTTCAAAACCATAATCTCATATTGCCACAGAGTGATTAACTGTGAAATAGGTAACACCTCACCTGATGCAGAAACTTAACACAAAGACTTGCTTGTGCCCCTTGACTGAACTTCCTGCAGGAATCCTCTCCTCCTTTGTTCAAGTGGCAATCTCTCCACCGACATGCTGGCAACGCTAGTTTTTCGCCCACCAGAGAACCAGTTAAAACTGCTTGTTACTAGAATACAATGACACCTGCTCCATAAACCAGGTGGTGGAGGTCACCCCAGACCAGGGTGGACTGTTACACCAATGATCTCCAAAATTTAATTGGGGAGTGTGTGTATATATACAAATAAATAATTGCATTTTTGAGGTCACTATAACAAATCATAGAATATTTCCTTTCTGAGGGTACATTTCTAATGCAGTATTAAAATTATACCCAGTATCATCTTGCCTGCATCAAGACAATGAAACAAACCCAACGCATTGTGTCATTTATTGGGAGAGGGCATCCCTATAAAAGTCAGTCCATCTGACAATTTAATTTTAGGGCAACCTAACCTTTGATGGCAAAGCTAGTACAAGAAATTCACATATTTTCTACCAGGTTTCTTTCCCCTTTCAATACTCATTTATGGGATTATACCATAGAGCAGATGACTGAATTCAAACTTAAGAAAAGTCCTTAAACTGTTTTTTTTTTCCCTGCCCAATAATATAATGCAAGTCTATATCTTAAGCTTCCAAGATAGTAGTCATAAAAATCTTTGAAAAACACAGAACATTTACTGTATTTAAATCCTATTTAGCAGATGGGAAGGAAGCAGTGGGTCTTTTTAGGATGATCTGTTCTCATGGGTTCAATATCCCCTGTCTTTGCCCAAGCAGAACCCAAACCACAAGGGTTCACAGAAATAAAACAATATAATGCCTGTCTCTGTATTTGGCCTTATCACATCTCCTTGCAAAAGCAGCTCTTTGCAAAAGAACTTGTTCCCCTCAGCTCTTTATAACCAGCCTTTCTGCCACAAATTAGCCTTCTTCCTTGTCCATTTTGATCAAAACTGAAAGTGTCCAAACAGTCCAAAACTCTTGCTAACTGGCTTATTTTAACAGATGAGGAAGCACTATCACAACCACCAAACTGGGAAAATAGCAGAAGCATCCCTATTAAAAGTCACTTCAGTCAGAAAAGTTGGATCCAAAAGGAAGCCTATGCAAGATCAAACTTCAGAAACACAGGCAGAGAAACACCTGTCCCAAATGCAGTGTACTGTACAAGCACGACATTTCTAAATGATAATTTAGAAAAATTAGGCTTAAAGTAAATTTTTTCTTCTTGCATTCCTGAGAAAATCACTCCTATCCATTCAGAAATGGACCATACAGCTGTTAAAATGAAAAGCTTCAGCATTCACAGGACGACATAAAGTTGCCAAATTAACTGCTCCTTACTGTTGCTTTATCTTTTCTTCCTAAGATCGTTACTAATCTTTTCCCACTCCTCCACGTCTACGTTCTCTGTTGAGCCATCATCATTCAGTCACTTTTGACCAATTACTTTTTCATTATATCCCACTAATATTCAGGACTTTCAGTGTTAGGACAACAGGTGCTAGAAATAGCTGTAATTTACTGACTCTTACAATAGTTCTTACTACTAACTTGTAGTATTTTTCTCGTAAACATCTACTGTCAATTACAGCTATTGCTTGCTTTGCATTCAGGAAGTTTAATGTAATATAACGTCAACTACAAACCTAATTACCAGTAACATGGGAATAATAAAACTCTACAGTTCAGGTTGGAGAACACTTACATTTACTTGTGTCACCCTGCTCTTCATCTTGACTTCCTGCTTATTTATGGAGTTCTGAACGTGCAGCAACGAGACAACCCAAGCTGGAATTCAGCATATGAAGAACATTTCACCTATAACACATATGACACAATCAAAAACCTTTCGACTGCACACGGTGCCGGAATCTGCACTTTTTATTTTGTTCTTTATGGCCACGCTTATATGGCTCCTTAAAACAGAACAAGCAGCCCCCCGACCCCAGCCTGTTCCGCTCTCTGGTGGTCACACAGGCCCTGTGGCAGGAGAGCGGCTGTGGAGCAGCACCGGGAGCTCACGGCCACAGCCGGGCCCGCAACCCACCGGCCAGGCCACGGTGGGGCTGCCGAGGTCCTGCCACCAACCCCGCCGCCCGTCTCCCGGCCCCGGTGCCCCCGTCCCGCCCGCGGCCTCCGCCCGCGGCCTCCACCCTCCGCGGAGCGCCCGCACGGCGAGGGAGGCCACGACCACCCGACTAGCGGGTGCACCTGGTCGGGCAGCGCCCGGGGGCTCCCCCTAGTCCCACGGGAAGGCGGTGAGGGCCGACCCGCGCACAGACGCTGCTTCCGCACAGCCCGCCCAGCCCGCACAGCCCACACACCGCAGCCCCCGCACCGCCCGGGCCCCTCTCCCGCACCTCCGGCTCCGCACCGCCACCAACCGCGTCACTTCCGGCAGCGCGCGGTGAGCGCGCGGGCCCGGCCGGTGGCCCGGCCCCGCCCAGCCCCGCCCCCGCGCGCACGCGGCCAGCCCCGCCCACGTCCGTCGCCATCTTGCGGGTGCGGGAGTGCGCGCGCGCGCGCGCGCGCCCGGAGTCCTCGGTCTGGTGTCTGAAAACAAACAAACAAACAAATAAATAAATAATGCAGGAGCTAGGCGGCAGAACGGCTCCTCAGGGAACTGGTGACAGCCCCCCAAGCCTAAGAAGAGTCCAAGGAGCGTTTGGACAATGCTCTCAGGCACATGGTGTGACTCCTGGGCATGGTCCCACGCAGGGCTGAGAGCTGGACTCGGTGATCTTTGTGGGTCCCTTCCAGCCTGGCATGGTCTGTGATTCTGAGTGACTCACCGCAGTGAGTGCCTCTGTAGCGCGGGCTTTGCTCCCTTAAGTTTTTCCCGCATTTCCCTAGTGCCAGCTGCTCCTTGGGTGAAGGATCCGGGAAAAAACACCCCGTTGTTGCCAAATGTACAAGGTTCCTGTCAGACATACACATAATAGCAAACAAGCAGTTAGCTGGCGTCCCTTAAGGATGGAAACCTGCCCAAAGCATCTCTGTAAAACGTAGTGAATTCACTGAGTGAATTGGGCACTCCTGCTCCTCGAGTAGCAGCTGTAGCACACACCTCTGTCACTTACTCATGTACTACGGGTTAAACAGTGCTTGAAATATGTTCCAGGAGATACACAATGCACTAGATACCATGTTGAATGTTACAATGCTCTTAGGGCACCTGTGTATTAGAGGGGGTGTTTTTTTGACCTCTGAAAGTTTGAAGTAATTCAGCACCACAAATCCATACGAACAGAGGGCCTGTGGCTTATAAACATAAACTTGTTTGGATTGTGGAAAGTAATTAAATGCACTGGGAGGGGAAAAAGTAAAAAAAAAGAAAAATGCTACGTAAGGTCTTAAAGTGCCTTTGGTTCATTTTCGATTCTTGTGAGATAAGTGGAAATTAAAATGAAAACAAACTTTTATAGGACACAGCAGATCAGGGTCAGGAAGGCATTAACTCATCCGTGAGCCAGATGGTTCCTGCAGGGCTATTTGTAATAGTGCCGTGCGGCAGTGCTGCTGTGCTGCGCCCACCTGCGTCCGTGTGCAAATTCCTGTGCCTCCATATGTAGTGGGTCACAGTATTTGTTGAGGGGCAGAAGATGGCAAGGAGGTAGGAGCCATTCTGGGAAAATGCTACTCACAATTTCCCTTTTCAAACATAATTGAGTGAAAATTTTCTCAGGGTTGGAAAACAATACCAATTTTTCTTTCTTTCTTTCTGTAGGTTTTAAAATCAACTTATTTATTCTCTGCTCAACATAATGGTACTTCTGTTTTGTCATATCACGTAGCACACCTGTAGCACTGCTTTCATTGCAACAATTATTACATGTTCAAATCTCAACATAGTGAGGAGGGCACATTCATGATTGGAAAGATCTGATTTATCTGGTGCAGCCGTAGATAGTCACCAAGATTCAATCTGACTGTCCTGCTATTCTGTCCACAACTATGATCTCACAAAAGAGTGAAAGGGAGCATCAACCCATGACTGAGATCACTGCACATTATATGTAGCACTTTAACTCAGAACCACTTTGGTTTAAACTAATCTACCAGTCTTTTCATCACTTGAAACATTAACAAAATGAGTACAGACCTTTTCTCAAATGTTTCCAAAGGCCAGCAATGCTGTCATAACATTATGTATTATAACAGTTATAAATTTTCTGCACTTGAGAGATAAGTTATTTTTACTTACAAAGTCATAAAAGTCAACTCTCTTATTTACTTTGCAATACTAAGAAATATAATCAATAAAAAAAGAAATCCCTACTCAAAACCAACACATGGATAGGATATGTTAAGTAATAATAATCAGAAAAAGTACATGGTTGTTTTTCTGCTTACAACTAATTTTTAGTACAGAATTTGATTTCTTTGGCTTTCAAAATGATTTGCAACTGTGGCACTTACACAGAACACTGAAACCAGCATGTATCAGGACGGTTGTACAGATTCTGACAAAATGATAGGTACTATAGATAGATAGATATTCCCTGAACCCACTGCCTGTCTGTGAATGCTCTGTGATTTCCCATTCTGCTGTGAAAGTAATCTTTTTCCTGACTCACACTGTGTAAACAGGTGTCATGAAATAAAAAGGCATATGGCACCAATGTGGCAGCGGCATCTTCTGAGAAAGACATCCTGTGGCTGATGGCCACGTACCATCACTCAGGCTGTCCCTCCAAATGCCCTGGGACAAAGAGGATATGGATAGCTGAGCTTTCCCCTCAGAGGGAGCCTGAGGACAGGAATGGGGAATAAAAAGGTCTGTTTCAAGATGCCTTCACCAGAAGATAACCGAGAACCTCAGAGATACATGATTGTTTTGAAAGCAGCTGAGTAACATGGGGGTGACATAAATTGCACTCTTCAGTCCTCTTCTTGAATGTGGAAAGTGGATGAGCATCTGGAAAAGTGGGATTCATGGATCAAGAAAGGGAAAAGGGCAGTGTAATACTGAATAGGAGCAGTGAAGTGAGTTTTCCCATTTCTTCTTTCCTAGTTAATGCTTTTACTATTGGATTATGGAGTGAAGCTCCCTTCTGTTCCTTTCTTCTCTGTTCTGCTCATCTTGCAGTTCCTTTTCTGCAGTGGGTCACAGATTTTATTCCTCATCAGGATGAAGGGAGAATCCCTTCAGTTTTATAGTGGGTCTAGTCTTGTGGTTTGGCAAAATGCTTTAAGAGATGCAAGATTCTGTGTGGGTGAAAAGTCAGTGCCTTCAGTTCCTAAATGAAGGCTTTAAGGGAGTAGGTTGCAGTGCAGGTGGAGTACTCCAGATGAGCCTTTTTGAATCTACTGCACTCAAGATCCCAAATGTAGAGAGTCTGAAGTAGAGCCGTGACTGTGGTTTCTGACTTCTAGAGAGTAGGAAGAATTCAGGTGCATCCTTTTGCTTGGTGTGTCTTCCACAGCTTCTTGCTCAGCATGTGGGCCTCCTTAATTGCCTGGAAAGCACTCAGATCTCTGGCTGTGGTGGATGAAGCATCTAACTGTAGCTATCCTAATAACCCCACAGGAGCCCTGCAGCTACTCTGTTAGTGTAAGAGGTTGTTCAGATCTCTTATCTCTACCTCAGTCTGAAGTAAATTCTTACAATTGGAATGGGGCATGATTATGGAGTCTGGAAAAAAAAAATCCAAAGACAAGAATTAACTCATGTCAAGTGGCTTTATATGTGTTCAAGACAGCAATAATCAACAGAGTATGTTTCTCCTCTTCTTAAGTAAGCATGGTGATAGATCAGACCTTAAAATACAATAACACCCAATTCACACAAAATTAAATCAATATGAGAAGTTTACCTTCAGATAAGGCGAATTCCAAATATAAATTTCTACACACTGAAAATGCTGAAAGCAGTCACAATTCAACTAATAGTAATTAAACCAAACATAATTATAATATTTGAAACCTGCACAAAGGGAGAAAGGATAACGTGTCCAACAAATTCATATTCATCAGCTTAATGTTGAGCATGAATACTCCATTAGTAAGCCACAGGAAACATAGTTTTAGTCATGTTGTTTTCCCATGGCAATTTTTGTCATTGTGCTTGAAATGATACAAGTTAAAAATCATCCACATGCTGCACTCCCTGGACTGGTGCCTCTCCTGGCATAAGCATCTGTAGCTCTATCAATTCCCAGTCTTCCACAAGTGAGCAAAAAAGGTTTATATGTAGAAACTCACTTGAAGTACCTAGTACTGCTGGAAAAAGCAACCATAGCTGCTCCAATACCTTATTCTGATAGCTGATTCTTTGCAGTTAATAATGCTTTATTAATTAATTGCAGAACAATGGATTGGAGACTGGTTTCCCTGCCTGCTTTATTAGCAGTAAGGAATTTAAACACTGCTTATTCCCATGCAAGGTAATCAGTGTGACCTTTAGCATACTGTAGACCTAAAATTTTGTGCAAGGCTCAAACTGTATTTTCAGATAGCTGTTGCCACATGCCAGCTGGGGGATATTACTCCACACCTCAGCTGAGACAAGAAATTGCATCCTCTGTGGTTTTAGTTCAAGGTCAGATGAGTGAACTGAGCTTATTTAACAAAGGCAGCTGGAGACAACAAAGCTAAACTTGTTTGGTAGCAGAGTGGGATGTTGCCACGCAATCCCTTCTGCTACTCTTTGTTGTGGCAGGAGTAATCTCTGCTACAGCATGTTAAGTAGCAACATTAGGGAAAGAAAGAATGCTCTTACATCACATATAAACACCACTGTTTCAGAGGGATCTAATATCTGTGCTGGGAAGTCCCCTCACCATTACGTTGTAATAATTGCTAGAAGATCATGGTTTTACAATACTGAGAAATCTCTCTTGTTGGTACCTCAAATGGGTGGCATTCATGACACTTCATCACAAATTTTATTTTTCTCAAGGAAGCACCAGCAGACTCTTAGTTTGTTTTGAAACCTCGTCAAAGCAAAGCTGTGCCCCTGAGCTCAGTGGGAAGGGATGATCATATGTGGAACTTCCACACAATTTCCACTGTGTGAGAACACATCACATATGTTTTCTATTATTTTTAATGACAGTCTCTCAGCTGCTTCTCATAATTGTAAAAACTGCTCAGCTACTGTTTAAAGCAGGTTCCTAGTCTGTGTGCTAACATCTCCCTTCTTTCAGTTTAGTGGTAATGCTGTTCTCTGACCAGCTTCTGGGACTGGAAACTATTCCCATCCCTTCAGGTGCCTTCTACCGTTAAAGTCATGATCAGACTAAGCATTTTATTCAGAAAAAGAAGGCACAGTGAATGCAGATTGGCGTACAAGAA